AAGTATATAATAGAAATATCTCATACTATTTCAAAACTCAGGGCACTCAAGTTGGAATTGTCTAAAAAATTATTAATGCACTTGGTTTTGATATCTCTTCTGCCATTGTTTAGTCAGTTCAAAGTGAGATACAATTGTTAGAAGAACTCATGTTCCTTTAATGAGCTCATCTCTCACTTTGTCTAGAAAGAGAAAAAGATGAAACATGAGATGGTAGAAAGTCCTCACTTAGCCACTATTTTTAAGGACAACAGAAACAAGAAAAGAATATGAGATAAGAATATTACGGTTCTAGTCCCACAGAAGAAACAACAAAATGTCCAAAATGAACATGTCTATTTCTTCTGTAAAGTTCTAGCTCATTAGAAAAAATAATGCCTCAACTATCATGCATGGTGTATAAAGAAATGTATACTTCTTAACTTTGTTTGTTTTGAGATTAATTTAACTTCAGTACCTAGACACATATGGTAGATAGATTTTGGTATAATAACTCACATCAGTGTGTTTATGCATGATGCCTAAGTTGTTGAAAGCCAAGTGAAGATACCAAATTCATTTATGTTGGCGACAACAAGTCAATAGAAGTTAAGGTGATTGACGCATTTATATTATTGTTAAGAATGGTTATTATTTGAATTTGAATGAGACTTATGTTATACCGTCATTTAGATAGAATTTGATTTCTGTTTCTATTTTGGATAAATTTTGTTATTATTGTTCTTTTAAAAATAAAAAGTTTAGTCTTTTTCATAATTTAAACTTGGTTAGTACTGGTTCTTTATCAGGTTATGATAAGTTTTATTTGCTTGATACAATTGTTTCTTTTAATGAATCCTTACTTGTAAGTACACGAGATATAAAGTGAAAATTGATTGGTGGGAATTTTGCCTCATTATGACATAGGCGATTAGGTCATATCTCCAAAAGGAGAGTTGAGAAACTTGTGTCATATAGAATTCTTGATACCCTTGACTTCACAATTTTTGACATGTATGTTAATTACTTCAAGGAGAAACAAATAAACATCAGGAGATTAGGTGTCAATAGGGATATATGCGTATTAGAACTTATACATATGAACATTTGTGGATCATTTTCTACGGGTTCTTGGAATAGTCAATAATATTTCATAGCATTTATAGATAATTATTCTATATATAGTTATATTTATCTCATTCATGAAAAATTACGGTCATTAGATGTGTTCAAAAATTTAAAGCTCGAGTTGAGAACCAACTCAATAAAAGAATTAGAGCTGTCAGATCTGACCATGGTGGTAAATACTATGGTAGATATGCGGATAAGTGAATAGTATTTAGGACCGTTTACTAGATTCCTAAAGGAATGTGATATCATCCTACAATATACAATATTGGGTTTGCCTAGCATGAATAGTGTTGCTGAAATGCGAAATAAAACACTTAAGAATATGGTGAGAAACATGATTAGACATTCTACCTTGTTTGAATATCTCTAGAGAATAGTATTAAAGATTATAATATATATACTCAATAGAGTTCCAACTCAAGCGACTGCAAAGACTCCTTATGAGTTTTGGATGAGTAAAAAGCTTAGTTAAAAGCATTTGCACATATAAGAATGCCTAACTGAGGTAAGGCCTTATAGGCTAAATAAAAAAAAAATTGAACTCAAGAACTATTAGTTGATATTTTGTTGAATATTTTGAAAGATTCAGCGGTTACAAGTTTTGTGATTCCCCGACTAAGTTAATTTTTGAGACGAAAAATATTTAATTCTTTAAGGATGTTGAGTTTATAAGAGAAGAGAGAGTCTAGAACCTTGTCTTTAAAGATTGATATATTGATATTTCTTCAACTACTATTGACAATGATCAGGATCAAACTTTTATACCTGACATTGCTCAAGAAGTAATTCCATATTTAGATAATATCATTGTACATTCCGTCTATGCGCAAGAAGTTGTTCAAGAAGAATAAGCTCTAGAACCTCAATAACTAATACTATTAAGAAGATCCACTAAAGAGATGAGAAGTATACTTCTAGATGATTTATATTGTATTTTTTTAAGAACATGAGACTGACATTGAAATGGTGGAAGATGATCCAATCAACTTCCGTTAAGCTATGAAAAGTTTTAACTCTCAAAAGTATATTAATGCCATGAATTAAGAGATTAAATTCATGAAGGACAATGATGTATGAGATTTTTTTCCATTACCCGAAAGTGCGAAACCTATTGATTATAAATGGATATTTAAAACTAAAAGGGATTCAAAAGGCGGTGTGGAGAGGTACAAGGTATGTCTTATTGCTAAGGACTTCACACAAGAAAAAAGATATCGATTATAAAGAAACTTTCTCACCGGTTTCATCAAAAAACACTTTCAGGAATATAATAGTTTTAGTAGCACATTTTGATCTTGAGTTATATCATATAAATATTAAGTCTTCGTTTCTCAATGGAGACATTGAGAGACAATTTTTATGATGTAACCAAAAAAATTTGTATTGAACGATGTGAAACAATTTGTTTACAAATTAAGAAATCCATTTATGGACAGTAGGTTTCTTATCAATAGTACCACAAATTCCATCAATTTATTATCTCGTTTGGTTTTGAGATGAATATAGTAGATGATTATGTATACCGTAAGTTCAGTGGGAGTAAACATATTTTTTTGATTTTATATGTCGATGACATATTGCTTGCCAGTAATGATATAGGTTTATTGCATGAAATCATGAGATTTTTAACAAATAAATTTGAAATAAAAGATCATAGGGATGTCTTTTTTGTATTAGGAATCTAGTTATATCAGAATTGTTTTGGGGATTTTCTTGGATTATTATAAAAGAGGTATATCAAAAAAGCTCTTAGTAGATTTGACATACAGAATTATAAACCATGTGACATCCATGTGTCTAAGAGAGATAAATTTACTCTCAATTAATGCCCTAAGAATGACGATGAGACTAGAGAAATTTCAAAGATTCTTTATGCTTCAGATGTAGTAAGTCTTATATATACTTAGTTTTATAAGCATTTAGATATTGTGTCCTTTATTAGGATGTTAGGGAGATATTTGAGCAATTTAAGAATAAATCATTGGAAAGCAGATAAGCGTGTCATGCAACATTTACAGAGAACGAAAGACTACATGCTCACATACAGGATATTAGATCAATTGGAGATTATTGGTTATTCTAATTCTGATTTTACTAGATGCTAAGACAACAGAAGATCTACATCAGTCTATATTTACTTGTTTGATAGGGGAGCTATCTCATGAAAGATTGTTAAGTAAACACTCATAGTCTCTTCCCCCATGACAACAAAGTTTATAACGTGTTATCAGGTGTTTAATCATGAAATATGACTGCAAAATTTTGTCATTGAGTTATACATTATAGATGGCATTGAAAGACCACTCAAGTTATTTTGTGACAATAAGTCCACAGTCATGTATTCCAATAATAATAAGAGCTTGACAAAGTCAAAACATATAGATATCAAGTTTCTGGTTGTTAAAGAAAGAGTTCAGAGTAAACAGATATCAATAGAACATATCAGGAAGACCTTCATAGTTGCGAATCGGCTCATTAAGGAATTAGCACCTAAGATCTTTTATAAATACACTACTAATATGAGTGTTGTGTCTCTTAATGATGTATAGTTTTAGTGAGAGTTTTGTACTATAATTACTTATATAATATAGACATATCTTGAGTTTTGTATTTTAAATATGATTTATGTGTTTGGTAATTAATTTTAGTTATATTGATTTGTTTATATTTTATCTCCGAATTTACTTTAAGTTGATCTCACTAAGATTTAAGGTAGGACTAGTTGGAAATAGGCATGCTCGAATTACATAGCATATAATTTTTATGTTGCACATCCATATTTGATTCATATCATTTAGTTATAGTGATATACGTGACTGTTAATGGGTTTAATTATGACAGTTATAGCGAAAATCGCTTTGATCATATGTTGAATATGATTGATGGGCCAAATTATTTAGGAATGCATTTAGGTATTGATAACAAATTTATGAGTACTTATAAAGCTATTAATGCACAGTTACAAGGTGACACATCTAACCTAAGTGAGAGATTGTTAGATTTTAATCAACTGTGTGAGTTTATATGTAGGTTTATTGAATATAAATGACTATTAATTTAATTGGGTCCGTTTAAAAATGATATATTAAAATTAAATAGATATTGAATTTTAATGCATAAAATAAAATGTGAAACTTTTTATGTGCAGAGATAAAAAAAATTATTTCTGATTTTATAATAGGTCAAATTATAAATAATAAAAACATATAAAATAAATAGGTAATTATGATCTCCAAATTATACTTATAATTTTTCTTATTTTGTCATGCCATCATTAAAAAAGATAAAGTGCAAAAACTCCAAATGAGCATGTATTGATTTGGAAGATCTATTATATAATGTACATATTTCTTTCGTTATAGATTTAGGTACGTTGTTATTTTAGATCTAATATATTTCATTTAATATGAACATAGTAATTTAGATTTAAATCTAATTTTATAAAATTCCTACAGTATTACATTCACGTGGATATCAAATTTTAAAAATATTATTACAGCCACACGACTAATTCTATAATTATTGATATACTCTTTTTGCCTATTGTATTTTCAAGTACTAATAAATTGAGTAATAGTACTAAAATTGGGGTTGAAAAGCATTGAATAGACACTGTGGCTAAGGATTTTTTTCTCCTGGTTTTATATTTTATTGTTAATTTTTTATAAATTTATATTTAATTTATGAATATTTAGAGATAATAAAAATAAAAAATAAATAAATAAAAATAATAAATAATTGTTATATAGCGATTATGTGGAGGCTACTTGGCTATTACATTAACAACATTTTTAAAAAATAAATATCTTTAATCTACCGTACTAATTATTATTATTATTTTTATCTGACAATATATTTTAATGTTCATTTTTTAACATGAACCGGATTATACCTAATTGCCTGCCCCCAATAAACCCTAGATGTGGAGCTGTCTACATTTCCCCTTCCAATAATTTTTCATTATATTTCAGTTTCATTCACTTTGCTCGCTATTTTTCCCTTAACGGAGCGTGAAAGAGAGATTCGGAGAACGAAAGATGGCGCGAAGGGGACGAGAAAGCTCAATAATACCGGAATCGGTAATGGATTCTGTGAAGGGAACTTCAGCCAAGATAGAAGAAGTGCGGACCCAATTGTCTGAATTTTTGTCTCTACTAGACCCTCAAGTTCTCGCCGAAATGCCGCCACTACAACGGGCTCAGTCTCTGTTCTTGCTCGCGAAAGCAAGTTCTACTCTCTTCACTTGTATTACTCTCTTCCTCTCAATCTAGTAACCCAAGATTTGGACATGTGACCTGAAATCTCGATTTACTTGAATTTGTGGCTTCATTTTGGCAGTGAGGTTGAGATGTACGGGAGTTCTTCCAGATGACCACCCTGTAAAATCTGAGCTAGTATGTCTTATGATTTCTATGTTTCTTGTTTTTTAATTTTCAACTTTGACAATTTTTTAAGTTGATTACTATGATATTCTTAGCTGAAATGACTGCTTCGGATTCGATGGTTCCGTTAAGTTTGAACTTTGAAATATTCGTTTTAGTATCTAGTGTTTTTCATTTCTTAATAAGTAGGTATATTAAAAAAAGATTTACCAAAAAATTGATACAAACATCACTTTGATAGCTTGGAAAAGATCCTTATTTTAGAAGTATGCAAATGTATTTTGTATGAATTGTTTAGATAGCCTAATCTTCATCTGCTTAATGTTGAAATATTTTACCAATATGCAAAATTTTTCTCTTATTTAATGCTGCTCAAGCACTTAAAATAAAAAATATATTAGGAGACCTAAGAGCACTGTTGAGTTTGAAGGCTCCGTTACATGTCATTGCACACACTTCAATTTTTGTTTCTATATTTTTTGTCAAACATTTGAAATGATGGGTCATATTTGTAGGTCCAACAATCCTTCTATGCTGTCATCTGTTCTGCTGGAAATTTTATGGTTGTACCCTCTTATAATTTGCTATAGCTCTGGAATTTTTAAGAAATAAAAGACCTGAAATATTAATAGATATGATTTAGAAAGAGGTCAGTGTTGATTGATTAAGAAAAAGTGTGAAGATGTTATTATGTGGAGATAAAGAATCTAAAATGTCAAGAGAATAGAAAGGTTGAAAATCAACTGTTAGTTGATAATATTTTAGTATCTTGGTTCTATATGATCTGTCTTCGAAGCTTGTTTTTCATTTGAAGTGTGTCATATATTTTCTGTTTGCCCATGTAAGTTACTATGAATGGGATATTTTTGTTTTTTCTAGAAAAGAATATGAAGAAGCTAGCATATATTATCTTTTTAGGAATATTTTGTTAGTATCCTATAGTACGTAGGATTAATTGGGTAAATATCATTGACGAATTTAGCATCTTTTGCTGCTTGTGCATATAGGAGAGAATAAGCTTGTATCAAGACAAACTTGAACGATTCATAAACTGGAGTAAAGGTACAATTTTTTCCTTCCCGTAGTCTTCATTGATTCAGCATATCTAATGTTTGTCAACTTCAACTTATTAGAGGCTTGGCCATATAAAATGTGTCACAAATGAATGTATCACTTTATTGAACTATTTTAAACCCAAAACTTGCTTTGACATTCTCCCAATTGTTTCAAAGTAAGCTATATTTAGGGATCTATCTTGCATTTGCGTTGTTAAGGTGATGAATTTGATTGGCGGGATCTGCATTTTTTTCTACAATTAGTGATTATGATTTGTTTGCAGTTGTACTTTGGTATCTACATTTTTTCTACAATTACTGATTATGCTTAGTTTGCAATTGTATTTTGAAGCACCATTAAGGCCATCTACTACCTTAAACTATCAGGCGGCAACCCGTTTCATTGAGCATTCCTTGCCTGACCTTACTTCAGGTAGATAGTTACCTCTTCTCTACAAGTTTTCCTTCTTCATGTTTATTCAATTCAAATTTGTGGTTATATATTTGCAGAGCAGAGGCAAAGTATGAGGGATATCAGTAAAGGAGAGCGATTGAGGAATAAGAATCCAGAGAGTGGTGGTCAAAAGAGGAGAAAATACCAATCGTCTGACAGACAAAGTGTTGTAAGTGCTGCTCAAGAATTTCTTGAAAAGGCCGCCCGTGAGCTTCTTGGTGATAAGAAAGGTGGCTTCAAGGGACCTCTGCAGATCGACACGTCGGATGATGACTTGCCAGTGGACTGATCTCCATATCTTGCATCCTAGTAGATGCTTAATTCATGCTTCAATTCCCTTACCCTTTTATGTTTTTTTCTCCAGCTCTTCAGTGTAATTTTTTGTACTATTTCATCCTTTATCAATAGTTCATCACGACTGGCTCTGGTAAAAATATATATCTTATGTATTTGTTTTTTCTCAATTCTATATGGGCATACACTAAAAAGCACAGGTGGTTAAACATAAAAACAAATTTTTAGAAGTTATGGTAAAAATAAATTTTTTGTTGATATGAATAGAAAGTCAATTTCTAAGAAATTGTTTTATTTTTGGTGCAAGAACCCACCAGTCTGTATCTAAATACACACATATTTTCATAAAGAAAAGGAAATAAATCTATGTAAATCTGGAAACGGAATTATAAATTTTTCTTAACGGACGAAAAATGAAACCATCCTTCGAAATTCCACAATTTTATGATTCAAACTTGGGATACAAATTTACATAAATTTGTCTTCAGCAACTGTTTTTAAATTACTATGCCTGAACTTTAATCTATTAAATTATACTTTCCCCTTATTTTTTGTCATTCAACAAACGTATACCAAACTCATATTTTATAAATAAATGTATTTAGACTAAACGAGAAACCTAAAATAAGAGTTTTCAATCTGTCCCATACTGAAGTTTTTAAATTTTCCCTCGAAGACTTGTCTTGTTCTGTTGGAACAATACTGTTCCCCACTCTTTTCACTCCTCCTGTTGATTTTTGGATTCAGATATCAGTCATCACGCGTTACATCATTACCGCATACATATTTAAAATGCATGCATGTATGGACGCACGTTTATATGAGTCGGATATTAAGACCAATTTGCTTATGTATATTGTCTCAGAAATGTGCTTTATATTTTCCCTTATTCAGGACAAGATTCAAGAATGTTATATCATCTACTTCAGAATTTGGAATTCTTAATGCAGGTGCCAGGCCGCTTCACTCAACAATTGAGAAATCAAGCACAAAATTAGCAACCAAAAACTGGGAAGATAACAGGTGGAAAGAAGCATTTCTTCCATCATCACAATCGTACAAAGTTAGTTTAGCTATAAATATAATCACAAATAACAAAACTTTTGTCCCGGCAAGACATGTATGCATCAGAATGACCAAAAAAGGAAAAAAGAAAAGAACCATTTTGTTCCTCTTCTTGTTCCATACTCTAACCACAAGATGGCATATAAGAGGCTACTGCTCAGTGCTTCTCTTCCTCTTTTCATTGGGCGGAGATGCACATGGGACTTAGAAAGAGGAAGATGATCCCACCCGCTCCCAAAGTTCCAATAGCATTTATATGCATTACACTTCACTAATAGGATACTAGCAACAAAAACTAGCCTAGGAAACAAAATGGAAAAACGCCTTCAATATTTTTAAGCATGCCACAAAACCTATGTATATGATCATATAAAAGAACAAAAGATTTTCTTCAGCAAGATATCTAATGGTTTCCTATAATCACAAACACATCAACTGAGGCCGTCCATACTCACCAAAGAGATAAGACAGATCCTAGATTCACTCCAACATCATATGCCCACAATAGTCTCCTCAGTCAACCAAATTCTCCACTGTTTCCTTTTCAGTTACTTCCTCAATCTCTGAACCAGCCATAACAGGGCTGTTACTTGTAAGTACACTATCACTGACAGACCCGCTGAGGTTGTTAATTGCATCCCCGCTTCCCCCTGCTTTCAAAGACCTTGTATCAGGGGAAGGAGAACCAGAAACACCTTCCATTTGCTTTGGCCTATTCAATGCATGACAGTGTGGGCAATAGTAAGTAACATATGGAAAATCTTCCTTCCTGGCAAGTCCTGCATGAAAAGAAGATGTTCTAAGGTTCTGCCCTCCTTGCTGCCATATTATACAAAATTAGCAAGAGAAAAGTGATCTTTTTTCTTTTCCCGTCAGGCAGTAATTGAAATATCTTGCAGTTCACATAACAAGAGTATGTACACTACCAATTTTGTAAGATTTGTAATTGAACCTGACAACAATTCCACAAGGGACCCACCTTACCCACATCGCTTCTATTGCAATGGTATCGGTAGGTTAATTAAAAACAGAATTGATTTGGCACTTAAAACTGATGAAAAACCTCCCTTATATGGATCATACTCCACTTACCATTGTGCATATGGCAGTTGCCACAAATAAGAGCATAAGACTGTGTTGGATCCTCACCAACCAGTAGTGCAGCAATCCGTGAGATCCAGCTCCCATCATGTGTAGTAGATCCCTGATCATGGTGATGATTGACAACAACCAACTGATTATGCCCTGGAGTCTGACCCTCAATGGCCCCAGAATGTGTTTCTTCATCAGGATGATGTGGTGGAGTACTTGCAGTGCTGCTGGATCTTGTGTGTGGTTGCTTTCGCTTTCGTAGCCCACCAGATTGCATAACCTCAACATCGTTGCTCTTTCCTGCTGGGACATTAAGCTGAGATTCATCTCCCACAAACACTTTCAATCCTGAATCTGCACCTAACTTTGATGCCAGGACAGTTGCAGCAGCTGCTTTTGCTGCCGGGTCAGGATCATATCTCTGCGGTCAACAGGTTATATTTAAGTTTAATATGCAGTTCAACAATTGCAATTAAGCAGGAATCAAGCACATATAGTTAAAAAAAAAATCCCTCAAATAGACACGTTATCAGGTTTTCCGATAATCCAACTGTGTTTGGATGTCTAAGGCTTCTTGCTAGCCTTATTCTGTTTTGCAATGGCTCAACCTCATTAATAATCCAAGAACCTCATCTAACAAAACTGAGGTCTGGCTAGTAGCTTATTTCTTATGTTTGTCATGTATAGATGATCTAACACAATCACATAGTAAATTGAGAGAGGGAGAGTGGGGAGGGACACAGACACACATGGGACACACAAGCACACAGACACACACGGGACACACAACACACATGCACACGCACGCACGCGCGCGCGCACACACACGCACACACACACACACACGCACGCGCGCACACACACACATACACAGAGAGAGAGAGAGAGAGAGAGAACATCAAAAATCTTTTCAAGGTTTGGCAATGTTACATTCATCTAAGAAGTTGATTCCTTTCACTACAAAGAGAGTAACTCTTACAACTAGGGTTTTAATGGCTTTTTTCAGATTAAAAGCTCTCAAAAAATAAGTTCAAATGTATTTATTGAAGGGTACTTTCATTTAAGTTTTATAAGCTCCAGGAAAATTATAAATTTGATAAAAATTGTCCTTTTAAAAGATAAAAAAATAGTGTTCATACGTGGGTACATTACGGAAAAATGATGTTTACCTCTATTAGTGTATCAAACTATGATCTATAGTTTCAATTGTTTTAAGATCTAACACTTTTAAATATCTAAAATTATGACTTTATTATCACTCTAAATTTAAAAAATTGAGTTTTGCACCCTCCATATCTGTCGTTAAGATGATTTAATTAGCTCAATTTAGTTATGAAATAAACAATGATTTAATTATAACCTCTGAATGAAGCATGCTGGACTTGAGCCTCAGAGCAATTTATCACAAAAGTGACCATCTTTTTGCATACTAATTTGGTACATTTGAAAAAATGCAGGTCCTAAAAAATGCAACAAAAATTGGTTTATTTTAAGAGTTGATAAAATACACGACAATTTTATTTCATTACCTCTTTATAAGGTGAGATTAACAAAATAACTAACACTTTTGTATTCTTTTTACAGAAAAAACAAAAACATTTATTTCTACATGAAACTTTTTAAGTGAAATAGAGGAAATGCAAATCCATGATATACATAATTCAAAAACAGTTGAAATACTTAAATATCCCATCAACAGTTGTCCTTTGAAATTTTCTCCTCCAATAGGAACCTATTGACACACCCCACCCCTTTGCATAAACATATGCCATAAGTTTACATGTTATCAGTCTTATCATAATTATAGTTACAAATCGTTCATAGATTAGCTAAAGGTATAAATATGTAATCTCATTACATGTTAAATTAAACTTTGTTTTCTGAAAATTTTAGAGCTGTATATTTAAAGGGTACAGCTGTTTTAAGTACCACATACTGCATTAAATAAAGAATAAATTTTATGTTAGAAAAATATCTCAACAAGCAAATATTTGAAGTTGAAGTCATGTAGCAATATTTATGTAATACACTCGTATTTTTTTCTTAATAATATTGACATTAACAAGAGAAGCACCATGTGTTCCAATTGCTCTCGTCTTTCCCCTAAAGAGGATTCTATAGAAGTTCAACGTAAGGGTCGAATCTAAGGCAAAAACATAGTCTATAAAGATTCAACTCAAATATCTTGCGTGGATTTCTCAATATGTGATTCCTTCCTACTTAAGAGTTTCACATGCATAACCATTGTGTGTTTCATTTGTTTTTTATTCTAAGAAGGATGCAAAATTGTGAATTTTGCCAAAATTCTTTCTGGACATTTCATCGATTTTCTCGATTATTCAATACTTAAAAGCTAGTAGTAGAGTTTTCACTAACCAGAAAGGATGGTGCAGAATGAATTTCCCTAGATTTTTAAATAGATTAGAAACAATATTCCTTTCATCTAGAACCATTGCCTTGTTTAGGAGTCTATGATTATAACTTTAGTGGTACTAGGATTCTATGTACTTTAAATTCTTTTATAAGTTTTCTGTTAGAATTCCATAATTCTAGTTATATTAGGATTTTATATGTACGCATAACAATCACCTCTGTAATTTCACTTTTAAAATAACTTACTGTAGTGTGTTTGGAAGTTTTTACCAGAGAAGAATAATATAGAGGTTTTAAAAGTATAAAGAAGGTACAGTAAAATTTAATGAAACTGTGTGAGAATCAAAATTGTAATAGAGTGAAGACATAGTTGAACCCCTTCTTTGGCAGGACAAAGTAAATAAGAGTAAAGTTTTCACTAATAAGACAAAAATAATTTATTGATAAGGTAGTTATTATATTGTTTATAAGATGGGTATTTAAAAAATTTAACTCACAAAATGTTGATGGAACTCTCTCAGCCCTCCCAAACCCCCAATTTGGTGGCTCAAAATAAATGAGAGCTTAGAGGGGTAAGGAAGTATTTTTAGGATCCCTCCTCAGTTAGGAAGTATTAGGATCCCTCCTCTACTCTCGTTTACTCTCTTAGAAAATTCCCAAACAAGATTTATACACTCTACACAACTTTACTCCCCTTAACTCTGAAAATAATCTTTCAAACACACAGTAAGTGAATAAATTATCATGAGACTTCTCTTGATACCTTGGTTGTTTGACGTGATCAAATCTAAGTGAGATGCTTTAGGACCTCACTTGTTACTGAAGTAACCCAAAGTATAATGTCTAGGTTTATCCCAAATCCCCTAAACAAGTAAACCAATCCAAATTCATCCAGTACCAAACCTGGTTCAACTTACCAGAAAGAAAAGTAGCATTAACAACCCAATTGAATCCATTCAAGAAAATCAAATAGTATTTCAAAGAGAGATCTAAATGAAGACATGCAGTGTGACATTTGAAAAAACTAAGAAAATGTCGCAACCTTCTCATTCTTACCTGAATGAGCTGCTGTGTGGTGTAATAATTTGTCTTCTCTTTAAGTTCATCAATTTTTGCCTGCCTTTCAGCCCGAAGCCTTTCCAGAGTTTTCTGATCCCTATTGTCACCTATATGACAATATGATAAGATACCAACAAATTGTTACATCAAGCCGAACAGAAGTATCATATATAATATACCATAACACCAGATGACTGAAGGCTTAACATGTGAAAATTGTTATACAATTTGCTAACAGAGACACTAGTGTCGACACAAATGCGCATACTACGAAAATTGCGGGGGCCATCTGTCACGTGTATGGTGATTGAACGTTAGACCATCAGTTGGCAGATTTACCAATTATATTAGGATCACAATAAACATTAATGACATTAATGCCTGCCTTTCAGCCCGAATCCTTTCCAGAGTTTTCTGATCCCTATTGTCACCTATATGACAATATGATAAGATACCAACAAATTGTTACATCAAGCCGAACAGAAGTATCATATATAATATACCATAACACCAGATGACTGAAGGCTTAACATGTGAAAATTGTTATACAATTTGCTAACAGAGACACTAGTGTCGACACAAATGCGCATACTACGAAAATTGCGGGGGCCATCTGTCACGTGTATGGTGATTGAACGTTAGACCATCAGTTGGCAGATTTACCAATTATATTAGGATCACAATAAACATTAATGACATTAGAGGACAGAACACTGATTATAATGCCCTGAGGAAGATCCAAATAACAGTAGCATTAAATTGCCTAGAAGAATTCTATAACAGAAATAAAATGTTAGTGTCAAATATTCTTTACATTGTTAATGTCAAATCTTCACTAGAGTTTTCTTTGCAGACAATTGCTGATCATGACTGAAAGCACCCGATAAGATGCTACTTTAGCACATTGTTCCAGAAAATCAGTGGTGGTTTTATTTACTGAACTATTTTGATGCAAACTTCCATCAATAAAATTTTATGCACTCGTACAGTAGAAAATATGCAGGTTTATCAGCTGCAAGCAATTGTCCTTTCCAATGTATGAAAGGCGTAAAGTTTAACTTACACATCCTGGTGAAGCTCAGGAATGCCGAATAAGCAAGGGTAGAAAAAGCTGGCAAAAGAAACATAGGCAGAACTCGAAATGCCCTCATCTTCCAGTTCAAGTCGACTGATCTTGTTGTCATGATGGCATAACCAACTGCAATAACCTGAAATTTGATATTCGTTACAAGGAACTAGAAAAGGAGAAAATGAAACTTAAAAAACTATGGGAAAAGTTGTGACTGGTCATGGATTTTCTTTGTCTAATGAAATCCTTGCATTTACGAATATAAAAATGCATAGCATACTAGATTGAACTATTTAGTAAGAAAGTCCACATTATATATGTGCGTGCGTAGACTGGCAAAGGTACGTATGAAGAGAGAGAGAGAGAGAGAGAGAGAGAAATACCTCAAAAATGACAGAGAAAATGATGAAATGCCTAGCCATCCTCCTCCAAGTTTGGGAACGTCGTTTCATCCGAGCGATAACAGCAGCTTCTTCCCTGGATATATATTGAAGTCTCTTCTCGAAATCATCACCGTGTAGTCTAAAAATTCCACTCCAAATACGAGAGATAATTCCTTTTTGCTTCTTTTTGACAACAGCAGGAGGAGACTCCTTCTTGTCGCCTTCTGCAATGCCTTTGTCGTCCGCCATTTCCTCTGCTTCCTGACAATCAGAGACAAAACCACATATTACTCCAATCAATTAACTCGAACGCAGTGGAGAAAATAACACGTAGAAACTAGGAATCGAACGGAGAAGAAAAGATGAATACAGAGCATTTAAGAAAATTATGCATGATAAGAAGCGAGGAAAAAGTGGACTCACTCAGGGCGATATGATGAAGAGACGGTCAGATCTGGCAGATGGTTGGATCAGACAATCTGCAACCAATCAGTATTTTCTCAGATCGCAGCTCCCAGAATGATCGCTGAAATCGAAGAGAAAGACGAGTGGGAGTGATGATGATGATGATGACTGCTTGGGGGAGAAGAGGGAATCAAAGTCCGGTGGGGCGGGGGGGGGGGGGGG